GTGTAATACCACAAAGAAAGTGGCTAGCACATGGTTGAAGAAAGCAGTCTCCGCTACCAATGCAACGAACGCCAACCAAAGAACAACTTCCTAGTCGACCCCTCGTCTTTGATAGGTAACACAGTGAGCACAGAATCCGTAACTAAGAGAGGACATCAAAAAAGAGCCGAGAAATTCATGTCTCCACCGATTCCTCTGCTATGAGTGTGGGTGGAAATCGGGCCCCAGGAGTGCGAAAGAACGGACAACACAAGTGCAGCTAGTTGAGGATTTGGCGGCCCCAGGGAGACAAAAAGATTACTGGTGAAATTACTAGCACAAGCACTGGAACATCAATGGTATTTAACTGTGCCTCTAATCAAGTACAATTTCCGCGGCTTTCTGGAGCTACGAGGGAAGACTTTAGAGGAATCCTACAAGATAAGTTGTGCTTACTCATCATCATCATCATCATCAACAGCAGTACATCAACCATTTGAACTGATGCTTCGCTGCCATACAACCATGAGGACCTATGAAATAAAGAATAAGAAGAGGGAGAGAAGGGGGACTTACCTGGAAACCTTAATGCCCTAAGCAAACATTCAAGGTCAAGGCGCCTACACCTTGTGTAGACAACATTCCGTCACAAACAGCTGGCTATCATGCAAAGATAAGGCGGCATCGGCGAGACAGCTTCCTTGCGGCTTTCACTGCCCCGCGTCATAATCAGCCATTACCCCGCAGATAACTCAGCACCAAACACACTTTAAACAGACAATCCAATTAGGAGACGGTATCAGACGCGCCACTGGTGTCGGTTGCGAGCCATGTCCTGTAAAGTCTTGAGCCAAGCACAAGGTAAGTCACATGGACTCCAACCTGGAAGGCGAGACGGACCAACGGCACCCAGTTTTGTCGTCAGTGACTACATTTCCCGCTGCCAAGTCAACTTCTGTCCACCTCGAGCCTTGCGCCACCCTACGCCTGGCAGACTGAACAAGGCCCTCCTAGGTAAGCGGTGACCAGGCATACGTCATCATTCATCATTATACACATCAGCTAGAGGTGGGAAAAACACCTCCGCTATTGTGCCGCAATACATGAAGGAAATACATACATACAATACAATACACAAAGGAGAAGTAGATACAACATTTGCATGCCAGCTGAGCTACCAGCAACGGATAGGCATCGTTCCGGTAAGCTTCCAACCAGCTACTAGGCAAAAAGAAAAAAATTTTAAATAATGTTTTACCCTAGGAAATGAGATCGTAGATGGATGGGGAGGCTAAAAGGGATGGGGAGGGACAAAGAAACTCACAGCATGAACGCCACTGAGGTCGGCTCCTTGCCATGTCAGCAAGTGTATCCAGCCAAACGTGTTCACCGTCTTTTGGACCCCAACCAGGGAGCCGTGAAGCTCCAACCGAGGCTAGCTCCGAGGTGAGGGACTTCATTCCCCTAGACCAAGTCATCCCTTGGCCACCTCTCCTCTTCTTCCACCCACATCCCCGGTGAGCAAACAACGCACGTCGAGGGAGTCGGTGTTCCAATACTTATTTAGCATACGTAGCAAGTGCCCAAACCAACGCAACTTATTCAGTGCTATCTGTTGTTCTAGGGAGCTAGCATGATTATCACCACCTAGTACTCGCCTACGCACATCATCGTTGCGGACACGCTAGTGCCATCCGACACCAGCAATGCTTCGCAAACAACGATGCTCAAAGACTTGAAGGCGCCTCAGATCTTCAGACCGAAGGGGCCAAGTCTCACTACCATAGAGTAGAAGGCCCTCATTGTGGCCTTGTATACACGGCCTTTCAGACGGAAGGAAACACCATTCTGTCGCCAAAGATGCCTTAGGTTCAAAAAGGCAGCTCTGGCCTTTGCAATGCGTGAGCTCACGTCAGTTTCTATGCGCCCATCATTGCTGATACAGCTGCCAAGATAAGTGAATTGAGCAACCACCTCGAGTTCCTCGTTAACAAGCGTCAAGCGGTCATCAAGTGGCTGGTGATCCTGCAGCAACACTTTACACTTTGAAGGTGCGAAGTGCATACCAAATCATGGGACCACTCTAGACAGGCTATTCAGGGTTGATTGTGCCGCCCCAACATCGTCGAAAAGCAAGACGATATCGTCCGCATAATCTAGATCAACTAACCTTTCACCAGGCAGCACTTCAACGCCTACATCGTTGGATTCCGTCAGGAAACACTCCATGATAGCATCCACGACGAAATTGAACAAAAACGGGGAAATCGGACAACCCTGACGAACGTCACTTGTAGTCGAAAAGCTATCCGATAGGGCACCATAGACCCTGACGGGGCCTCTAGTGTTCGAGTATAGAGCACGAAGGATGTTCACATATTTCGTGGGAACACCTTTCCATGCAAGAATTTCGAACAGAATCGATCGATCGACCGAATCGAACGCACTCGTGAAATCGAGGAACACAGCTATTGTCGGTCTGCGGTATGCGTGGCGCTGCTCTAGCACCTGCCGCAAAGTGAATATATGGTCTATACAGTCACGTGCAGGGCGAAAACCGGCCTGCTCTTCCCTAATCCGAGATTCCCGTTCTGCAGTGAGGCGACGAACGATAATCGAGGCCAGTAATTTTGTCACAACTGGCGTTAGGCTAATACCCCTGTGGTTCGCACAGTCTGTGCGACTGCCCTTTCTTGTATATTGCCACTATAATCGATTCGCTCCAATTAGCCGGCACACTCTCTTCGTTCCAGATACGTTCGAATAGGGAGGTCAGTGCCTCGCAGAGGACCTCACCTCCATCCTTAAATAGTGCAGGTGGGAGGGAATCCGGGCCAGCGGCAAGAAAACCATGGAGGGCTGTGATCGCGTTTCGGACCTAGGCCTCCGACGGAGGCTCTAAACTAACCGTCCATGACTCGTCCTGCATCACCTGAGTAGGAAGAGGTCCGGGAGCAGGGGGCCAGCTGAACTGATGTTCAAAGTGCTCAGCCCAAGGAGCCATACGGCACTCCTTATTGTGTATCAGCGCACCCGCGCTGTCCCTGATTGTCTCACTGACGCCTGGTTTTCTCGGACCAGTGGTGCGGATTAGCTGGAAGAGCTTGCGGTAATTGCCTACTGCTCCTGCCTCCTCCATTTCTTGAGCCCGACTGGTCCACCAGGCTTCCTTGTCAGCACGTAGACTCCGCTTTAGTTCACGCCTAATAGCCCGTCTGGTCACATTGTGTTCAGAACCAGACGGGAGGTGTCTTCTAGCTTCCAACAGGTTCACCGACCTCTCGGATATCCAGTGACTGGTGCGATGACGACTGATAGTGCCACAAACAGATGCTCCTGCTTCTTGCATGGCGGCCGAGATCCTATTTCACTGAAGTTCAGTGTCATTAGGACAAGACAGCGAGAGTTCGGTATGCAGTGCTTCTTGATAGGCTTGCCTGACCGAGGGCTGAGACAATTTCTCAGTTGAAAATCGGAGGGGACGTTGGGTGCGCCTTCCGGTAAATTTCATGGAGAAACGACAGCGTACCAAGGCCTGATCAGAGTCCACGCAGATATTCCAGTACGAGCGGCAATCCAGGATGGAACCATGCCACCTGTAACTTATGGCTATGTGGTCAATTTGGGTCCATCGCTGGCCAGCTACAGGTGGACGCCAAGACGCACTTCTGCGCCCACTGTGTCTAAAAGCAGTGCTAGTAAGAAACAACTGGTGCTCCGCACACAGTTGCAGCAAACGCTCGCCGTTGTCAGGCCGTTCGGAGTGAAGTCCATACTTACCACCCAGCTGAGCTTCTGAAGAGCTCATACGCCCTACTTGTGCGTTCATATCCCCTGCAAGTACTATAATATCTGAACTAGTAGCACTGCGTAGTAGGGCGTTCAGTTCGTGATAGAAAGTGTCCTTGACTGCATTAGAACTGCAGTCGGTGGGAGCATAAGCAGAAATCACAAACAAACAGCGTTTTGTTTTACTTCGCGAATTCACCTTAGCTGATGTCGTCAAACGGGCTGCACATAAACGGCTGTTCACCGGAATTCAATCAACCAACGACGACTCAGCCTTGGAGCTTAGAATGATACCTACACCAGCTTGACCTGTGAGTGCCGCATCGGCGTCTCCGGATGCGTGCAACCAATAACGAGAGGATAAGCCGGGTGCAGTCAATTCAATAACCCCGTTAGGGTCATTAATCCTAGTTTCGGACACACAACACACATCAACACCCAGTGTGTCCAAGGAGCGTGCGAGTGCAGCCTGCTGACCTGTTTGTCTTAGAGTGCGAACATTGGATGTCGCCATAGAAATGGGACAGCGTGGCCTTATAAGGGACTGTTGCCGATAGGCGTCCGATAGGTGCTGTGGGATGGTGGCTACACATGGTACTACTCCAGTAGCACTTCGGTTGCTGTCAATTAAGCTGAGAAATATAGAAGGAAGGTTAGTAATGGGGGCCGGGATGGGAGTAAGAGAAAAAGGTGGAAAAGAAAGAAGGGAGGCGCCAGCAGTAGCATGCTTTCGCTTATCCGCCCTGCTGTATGCAGCAGATAAGGCGACCCTTGATAATCTGCGCGACGGCCGATGCAGGATGAAGTTTATGTTTGAAGAAAATGTCATGGTTGTATGTGGGCTGGGATACTGCCAGGGCGCCCAGACCTAGACAGGAGGACGATTAGGGTCCTCATCCAAAGCCATTGGCTCAAAAGCCTGTCCGCAAGGCAGCGGGGTGGCAGTGATTTAGTTTTACAGAAATGGACGCCATCCCATTTCAAACCCCCAACTTGGAGGACCAAGAGACTAAGTTTGTCTGACCTCTCACCATTGACAAACCTGGTAGGAGTAGCTCTCAAGATGCTCGGAGGCATCACCCAGTATAGCTCAATGGGTCAATGAGGTACGCAAACCGTCGCACCACGTTAAGGTCCAGTCTCGTTGCGACTGACTGAGAGTGCAGCTAGGGATAGACGAAGATTTTAAGCAGGAAAAGGGACACAAATGAAAGATTGAGCTCACTACTCACCGGAGGCTACGACAAGGAACCCAATGTTCGTGCGAGATTAAGTCGTCCTCATCATCGTCCTTGGACTGGGCATCTGGTTCATTTTTGTCGGTGCTACCCGCAGCAGCTACACTTAATCCTTGGTAAGACCATATGATAACAAAAAGATCATCGCCTGCAGATGCCAAGTAATCTCCTGAAACGAATAACGAAAATTGGAGGGAGTGAAGATGTGCAACAGAAAATAAACTTACAAGACTTGTATAAAAACTAAAAGTTGAACGGGGTGTCAGAACGGTATCACGCTTTATGGAAAACAAAGCAGATAGAAAACAAAATAATCGGAACCATGGTAACATAGTTCGTTGTCATTTTCACATGAGACCATTGGGCAGCCGTGTCGTGAGCAAGAGGTCAGCTAGTTGGGGTTAAATTTTTGTTGTGGGAAGAAAAGGGGAATCTTGCGGCGCGAAGAACTGAAACGCCACCAACAAATGTGGAGCTATAGCACTAACCATTCTAATTGGGTGGAAGTGAAAGATAACTGAACACCAAAGAATAATTATGTTGAGGGTATGTGTGTATATTTCATGAGCGGATCCAGTTTGCAACCTCATTACGCTTGGTTTTGAATAAATCAGTCACCATTTCCAGGATTAACTGAGATGCCATCTATTATGCGCAATCCACCCATATGCTAAACATGTGAAGACTGCAAGCCGCAGAGGTCAAAGGTCAGGGATTGCAAATGCGAACGTAATACAGTGGACAAACGTTTGACCATTCGCATAGTATGTCCTTTTACAGACGGATATTTGGCGCGAGAAAAGTTGCTTTCATCAGAAGAAACAAAAGTTATCACGGCGATATGTGTGGAAGCTAGATAGAAAGTCCGACCAACCACCCCCAACATAAAATCTTGAGTGCGCAGATTCAAGACGTACCGACCTATAGAATATCACAGTGTTTTCCAAGGTCATTAATGCATAGTGCTTACGAGTGATCACGGTTCAGAAATGTTATATTCTGCCAAATATTACATGTAAGCAGCGATGGAACTAAGTGGTGAAATTGCATTTTTCGCTCAAAGTAGATACAATAAAATGTACGATATACAACGAGAAGCGCCATCTATTAGTGACTAAAAATCTATAGGACATGCAGTTTTTCGTATATCCTCAACGGTAAAAAGCGTGGACGAGGTCGGATGAAACTTGCGGAATTTCAACTTAGCTAGTGGTATCACTCAGGCTCGCCTCCAAATGCAAGAGATAAGATCGATGGACAACTGTTGCACGAAACTGTCAAAGATCATGTGACGGAATCGGTACACACAGCTAAAAGTACTGGACCACTATTAGCTCTGCACGATCTTAATTTTTCTGACCGCCATGTAGACATCATCCCGATATTTGAACGTGAGCTGATGAAAGAAGGTGCTCGATGAGGCGGAGCTGCGTTCATCAGTTAGTTTGTCCACATCCAGAAAAATAAACCCTGCAGCTGCAAACACATTTAAACCGAACTAGTTCAAAATATTCCACAGATGACGGTAGTTGTGTTTACTTAAATTGCCTCTGCCAACAAACTGTCCACTGTTGTTACCATAGTTTGTATCGTCAAAGTTAGACCTATGACTCGGGTAACCATCTGTGCATGTACGCTTGTATTTTTCGCGTGAAATTGCTCCAGCAACGGCGTTCATTCGCGAGTAGATCATTCCAACGAGACAATACAAGTTGATGCAAAACGCAGTTCGCCAGATTGGATGCGCAGGTCACTGTAAGTGGAAACCAAATCCAATGGAAGGAAGGATAGAGTGGAGTTGCACAATATTGTCCATCAAGTTAATTTCATCGTCTGACGGATGTGATGGATCGTCTTCCAGTGCCACGTATGTGCGCTGAACGTATATGGTATGGAATGTTTTCAAAATGCAGCAATCTGAGTTACGCATAGGGATATGCTATTACCAGAAAAATAAATGAGGTTTGCCTAACTGGGTGCCCTTTAGCTAAGCACCAATCTGGTTGAGAAGAGCAGTAAATTGGTGGGACAAAGCGCTTTAATTAACGTGATGTGCGATTTCATTGAAGTCACCGGGAACCAAACAGATTGAGCTTTGCTAGTAACATCAAGGGGACTTGATCAACAAAAGGTTTCAATTCCAACGACGATACTCAGGGGACTTATGTGCGTTGCCGACAACAAAGGATATAAAACCGCTGTGCTTTCCGTTCGACCAAATGGCAATATTCTGTATCAACCACCCGTTCATTTCCTGGCTTAGACCGTACCTTTCCAACTGCTCACAAATGGTAATATAATGGACCACAAGACAAAATCTTTACCAGTTCCGAGCGCTGTAAGCCATAGAAGCGTAATCGGCCCGTTACTCTTTCTGTTAGATGTCAACGATACATTTCACCTAATAAGATTCACACACATTACATGTCTTTGCTGACGACATGAAAGTCCCCCCCCCATACATTCAACGCAGATGAATTACATAGCAACAAGGAAGTCATAAATCCCGACCTGAAATCCCTGGTTATGGTGCACATATTGGGATTTGTCCTCCTCGACTGAAAAGTGTAGTGCCCTATACTTCTGTGGCTCTATCAACCCTGGTATTCTGACTCGAAATGGGAAACCGATATCCTGCTGTCATAATATAAGAGACCTGGGTCTTTACTACGCTGGCTCACCACGACAGCTAAAGCTCGTAGTGCGGTGCACTACTAATGAGTAGCATGGGGGAAAGGAGCAAGCGCGATGAACTCAGCGAACACTGGATCAACGCGGACGACGGGCATGTAGTGCACAATTCAACCAGCCATGGAAACGGAGGAAGCTGGAGTTTTCGGCCTCTAGCATACTGTCACGGCAAGCTGAGTCGATATCACGCAGCGGAGCGCTGAATCAAATAGCACCAAAAACGAAGTGCGCAAATGAGTACAACTGCCCTATGTGCGAAATGTTATACCATGTATACGTTCATCCTCTGATACACAACTCGTGCCCACCGCGCCGCTTTCCCACAGTAGGAGCAATATATTGCTTATTAAAAGCGTTAGTCTGAAATAATCCACTGCTACAATATATAGGACAACCAACCGGTCATTATTACACTATTGCAGTATGTTATGAAGCGTGACCACTAGTGATCAAAGTACGGAGGGCGTTTTGTAAACAACTAATGAAATGAACATACACGTCACCTTGCGCACAGCATTGTAAGGCGGTGAAGGTGGATCCCATAAGGCTCAGGAGGATAAAACTAAACATCTGTCATTTGCAGAACATAGTCCACAAGCGAATTCAGCCACAAGTCTTGGTACGAAGTGTGGAAACGACACCCAGTGTATCATAAGGTAAATACATTCACTGTTAAAAAGAAAGAATTCGGCCGCTTATGAGCGGACACTTTCACCTGAACACGTACAAGAGAGCATGGAATAAAGTACCGAAAATGTAAATCTTCTTAGGTATTCCCTAGAGAAATCCACCGATATCTAACTGTTGCAAACGTAGTACGGATGATAAAACGGAAGAACATTGAAGAAGCGTACGAGTAAAATGTAGAAAATATCTGAGATGGCGCTGCACACCGTTCATTCACGTGGTAGAATGACCATCGGCGTAATGAGTAGTTGTCACCTAGGCCATATCTCGCCTTACCTACCTTGGCCCGCAACACCACTCTTGCGGATTATCTTATGTGAATGCACACACCAATTGCTGTGGTAAAAGCTGGCAGATTGGTAGCCAAAAGATCGAGATCCTTTGCTGTCTCTCTCTTAAATGGAACTAAACTAGCTCGAACGCTCGCGATGCGTTGGCATATCTCCGGTCACCTCGGCAAAGTTAAGCTTCTGAGCGCCACTTCCCGTAACCTTGTCCCTCAGTATCGATTTTCACTCCTATCTGGATCCAATACCCATTGGAGTAACGATGGGGCAGATACGTGTCACGCCCGATGGAAATCAGAAACAAATATGGTAACTGAAGTCAGTCGTGAGACAAGTCAGATATGCATGTGTACAAGCGTTTAGTGGGTAAGCAAACAGCAGTACGCACTGAGTTCCAAGTCGGTGTCTTGATCAGGCAACATGGGCCAATGAGCGCAGTGTAGATAAGGGACGAATCACATACACATAACGATGCACACAAAAACACACGTATGCACTGCGCCGTTAGCCCAGTTAACACATAGGATGCTTTATTACACTCAGCACCTATATTCCACGGCTTTTACTATCCTATGCCGCAAAATAGTAAGTATTATTCACTCACTTTAATGGGAGTACCAGGACTCTAGCAATCAGTAAAAGCACTGATTCGATGACAGCTTAACTACCAAAACCATTGTTAAAGATCATTTAGTCAATGTGGCCACAGCACCCGACTTCATATTACGCCTGCCCCGATCGTACAAAAATGTTGATGTTAAGCCACTAGGAGAGCAGGTGCACAAACACCCAGACGCTTTACAAGCTCGTTTCCATCCCACCATGAAATGTGATTCTGACATCGACTTACAAAAAAATATTATTTCACCCGGTTTGATATTCCTTTTCAGTATATGTGCACATTTCCTCACAGTACACGGCTAATGCAGTTGAAAACTTAAAACCTAATAAGACTGGTTGCCGCATGTCCGAAACCATACGGATCGTGTCCGCTTCTCGCTCATAGGCGATTTTATGTTAAATCGAATAGGCTGACCGGAGGTTTAGTTTCCCCCCCCCCCCCCCGCCACCCGAGTATTGTGAAATAGAGACAGAGTTTGCTGAGACCCTATCTGAGAATTGACCAGCACAGCAAATCTGCATTACATCACATTCAAATCCGTCGTGCCTGGATCTGGTTTCGATCAGCTTGTGAGTGACGTTTAGGTTTTGGAGATACTGCCAGTGAGTGATCACACATTGGTCATAGCCAGCATAGAGATGCCGATGCTATTCACGCGTAAAAAGGAACCATCCTACAACGAGTAGAAAACTGACTTCGATGGTCTCACTAGAGGTGCTATTCAAATGGACTGGTCGTTCATTCATTTGCTGAGGCCTGTTGGTCTATTATAAGAGTGTAAAATCCTTTTGCGCTCGATTCGTACAACTCAAGTATCGGAAATCTGGGTCAATAACACCACATTGGTTAGACAAATAGCAACGTCAGTTGATTCGACGGCGACGCGTACTGTGGAATAAATTCCTCCTGTCTAGCTCTGCCGACGAGTACGATAGGCACAAGAGAAAGCGGAAGCTATTCAACAGCGCGAAAGCACAGAGGTGTCGACAGTTCAAAGGACAGCTTTCAACCGCAGTGAAGACGGCCCGCAAGACCTGTGTTTAAATGGAGCGGCACCTGAGGCCTACCGGAGACGTAGCAATGTTATATGGCTCTCACGAACAACACCTATCTAGGGACAACGACCGTGTGTCCGCATTGCGGGCGCATTTCACTTCCGTGTTTACAAATGACCCGGTGTGTATACTGAGTTCGAGTTGTGCAGACCCAACCGAAGTCGACAGATTGGGTTTCAGTGATGAAGATGAACGCAGTCTACTCACCAGTCTTGATGGCACGAATCCTGCCAGTCATGACGGACTCAAACCGCTGTTTCTAAAGTCCTTATCGGCCATCATCTTGCCTTCCGTGACCGATATGTTCAACAGCTCGGTGCCTGAGGGTTCAATGCTGATCGACTGGAAACGATAAGTAAAGAAGTCGATTCCGAAGGGCGATGACAGAAGCAAAGTGGACAATTACCCGCCAATTTGGCTGAGCTCCATTTTGTCTAAGAAGCTCGAGGAGACCAGGAAGAAGGTTCTCCCGTGGAATCGAAAGGCATCCTGGTGCCGATACAACAGGGTTCAATGAAAGACCGCTCATACATCACAAACCTGCTCGTGATAAGGCGAGAATGGTTGCAGGAAGTGAATCAATGGAAGCATGTCGAAGTAATCTATATTGATTTCAGCAAAGTGTTCGACAAGGTGAACCATGAGACCCTCCTACAACAGCTGCGGATTGCGGTGTTGGTGGTTCACTGCACTGGTGGACCAGTCACGTCCTTATTGAGCAAAAATGAAGCGTACGATAAATGATCAGTGTGGTACCCCAAGACACAGTACTGGGGCTCATTTTGTTCCCGATCCACACCGACAAAGTACGACGTGTTTGTCGGTCACCGTGTGCCTTGTTTGCAGACGAACTAAAGATTCGGGGAGCAAATGATGCTCCCGAAGACTATGACATACTTCAGTATGACCTGGACCACCTCACAACTTGCTGTAGATATCGATCTGTCAGTCAACCCAGCCAAGTCATTATTTAGGAATCTGGAGAAGGGTGATAAGGTGCGCAGGTATACTTTGGCCGGCTAACCGCTGCATTCCACATATTCCGTGAAGAAAATAAGCCTATTCATACACTGTGATTTGAAGACCGTGGACAACACGAACATTACATATCGGAACGTAGTGCAGATGCTTTGGTCGCTCAAACGCAACTTGGTCTGAAGAGATTGCTACTCGCCTCTTTTCTTCCATCATAAGGGCAATATTGAGGTAGGGCACATCTGTCTGTCGTCCGATTACTCGTGGCGAAGTGCAAAAACCGGAACGTGTTCACCATGTATCTACCAGGCTCATGCGCAAGGGTATGTCATAGGAAGACCGATACAACCCACTGGGGCTGTACACCCTGTTTCGAGTGGACCTCATAGTAACGCACCAGATATTACATCTAGGTGACCTCCCTGTGCTGAGGCTGCTGCTGCTGCTGCAAGGGCACGCAACAAGCAACACTCGTGGGCATCGGTACAAACTTATGGTACTAGATATGAGGCGACTAGCTCACCCTCTGACGAGTGATAAATAAATAAATGGTTTATTCTCGACAGTGTGAGGCACGCCTGAAAAGGCATGATCATGGTAATACAAACAGGTTTGATGGAAAATTGCACAAAAATGTTACAAGTTAAGCAGTAACATACTGGATTATGTGTGTACATACATGTGTGGGTGCCGGATTCCAAGAAGTTCCTAGACCCCAACATTGCGCCGTGCAGATTTCGACATCGATTCGCACCTGGATGGGGCGTTGCACAGTGGAAGTGCGTTGATAGTGCGCAGTAATGAATAAGGGTATTTCGTCCGATAATATATCGTTGGAGCAATACAGATATATATCTCCCAGCTCTCTATTTCCAGTATTAAAAAACCATACGGATGTGTTACTCGCAATTCGCTCCCGTTTATCTTTGTCCCGGTCCACAGCCCTTTTTACTCAACGATAGCTTGATTCGTACTTGTCCTATTGTATTTTATTTTAAATTTTGTCTTCATACAGAAGTATGTATTTTTGTTGCAGCCAGCTGCTTCTTTCGCTCACATGAGCCCACCGTAACCATGGTCCATGATTTGCTCGTAATAAAGCAACCGCCAATCTTCGTGAATTGGTAGAAAATAACAGTGAAAACTCTGGTGAAAGATTGTAAAAAAAAGCAAAATGCCCCCACTGTATCCGTGCACAAACCAAAATTACCGGCAGTTCTGCACGCATATTTTACAAATGCAAGTATGAGACGTGCTCCCCTGTGGGTATGGTTTTCGGCACTATGAGGAATGTAAAATTGCAAATTCAACTGATAGATGATGTCTTTAAGTATGTGGACAACAGGACAATAGAAGCGCGCTAGTTTTTGCTAAGGTAGGTGACCACACCACTCTGAGTCTGATGCGTTACTGAGACTTCAACATAAATAAATGGGGTTTATTCTCGTCGGATCGAAGCACAGCAGTACAGGGATGATCAAACATGAATGAATCCACTTTCCACATCTGAATGCAACCAATAATTTTCTGGTAAAGTAACGACATGTGGATGCAAGCACGCACCTCGATGCATGATGGCGGTGAAATCAATCATGGTGCCAAAGGCGATCGCACATTGCTGAGTAAATATCGGTACCGATTATTCTCAGCTAAAACAGGATGATGTCCGAGACCGAACTGCTAACCAGTATGGAAGTTCCACCAATATTTTCTGAAACAATTCTTGATAATACATCTAAGATTGTGGAGGATAAACCCCCTTCAAGAGAGAAAAGCATACTGATTCAGTTGAAGGAAGTAATGCGCTGGCCCAGCTAACATAACGGAATCAAGCATGCGATAAATCGTTTCTCTTCAGCAACGTCACAAAGTACTACGGATAACTGAATAATAACAGCAAAAAAGTTAGGAAACTAAGAGCCCACACACGATTGTCTTGTCAGTGCCCTCCAAGGAAACCAGGTGACAACAAACTGTTGTTGAGGGAGGCGCAAGTCAAACCTGAGACAAATCGCTTCCCGGTGTCTGACTGTCACCCCACTGGTGCATCAAAACCCTGTGCGAAACGACTAAGAAACCATTTCGAAAAATGCGGGACGGTCAATACAAAAGTATGCTGGAGGCTGATGTACTAGGCATGGATATGCGTATGTTATGATGCGTCAAGAACAACAAAACCTAGGTAGGAGAACGATCGGGGACTCAACTCAGAGATTATATGAAAGGCTCAACTACAGAGCAGTTGGAGGAAAGCATATTCCTTCTAAAGAAATGGATGCTATCTCGGTGCCATCTCTAAGCTGCAGGACGAGGAAACAGCTGGTCTTATTTTCAACGATGGCCAAGCTGGTAGGACGATCGACCTTCAGGATACCTAAGTGTAACACCCATAAAAGGTACGCAAGCTGTCGCATCAGAAAATCAATGGTCCAACCGCAACAACTAGCTTCAGATCGCAGGCATCGAAGCTGCGTCAGAACATACAAAAGCAACGCATGCAAGCAGATCAAAGTGCAACACAGACCATACACTATCTGTTAAATGACAGTTTGGCTTGAAACAAAGCAGTAACAGAGCACTTTGATCCAAGATAGGGAAGGAGACGATAAATAGGACGTTTGAAGTGGGCCACCTGTCGTGGTGTGCTAAGTCACTCGATGATACATGCAGTGCAGCGTAAGATGAGGTAAAGAAAGCTCACCTTGCGGTGACAGGCGCCGTCAAAAATAGCTGATGTTAACCAAAGAAAGGGAGTGCCTTCATGAAGCAGAAGACGACTGTAGTAGGCCGTCCACTTAAGGCAGCTCAAGCAAAGTGTAAAAGGTGAGTGTAATCCATACACTGATTTGAATGGTGGAAAAAGACTAGTCCATTTTATCTGACGCATTCGATAGTCATAGGTTAACAAGATCGGGATGAGGGTGAACGGCTTTTGGTAACATAAATACAGTGATCACCGCAAGTAAGAAGCCAAGGGGTGGTAGAAACCGTGAAATTACCTGCTGATGTATGCGAAAGAGTGGATGGGAGAAGGGAATAGTCTCAAATTGCCAAAAACAAGGTCCACAGCACACGAACCTAGGTTTCGATGAAAAACCGGTCCAAATCAATAAGAACCACTTTACACGACTAGCGAGTAGGAAGATGACCCGAAGACACTCATAAAAAGGCGGTTAATTAACCTTACAGACTGAGAGAAGATAGGTGACCAGATGCATATAATATGTAATTGCACAACGTTAACAGAGGCGGTCAAAAGCAACATTAGGGGAAGAGTGGAAACTTGCCTGATGGAGACCAACGGACAACGTTTACAGGTTTCTCATGTCGCTTTAACGAAGCCAAATACGCCAAATGGTGAGTCAACTGAGATAACGATGCGCAATCGACATTTTTCTTCGAGACAGTAGCTCCGATCGAACTGGCAACTTGAGAAGCAGACAAAGTGATCCAGTCTAAACGAATTCGCCACAGACGAACAATATTGTCTCCACCAGCAGTGGCCAACCTGGTCCACCCGCGATCTGTGGATGCATGGGAATGGGCCCCAGAGTCAAAACTTGACAACTCCGTCAAAGGAGAACGCACTTGGGTTTCAGTGTCTTTGCATGAACCGGCTGCGCGGGAGCCAGTAAAAAGCTGCAAGTCACATGAGTATACGGGTAAAGTCTCGTGCCAGGCTATTTCAGGGGTGAATAATCGCATAGCCGCAACTGAAAAAGGAGCAAAAACGCGAGGTCATCAAGAGGACAGTGGGACTATTGTAAGAAGCGCCTGTATACACCATAGGATGAAGTGCGAAAAGCTGTATATGGTCTTAAATGCTAACAATGCCGTGTAAAAGGTGTGGCGTGTTCTCAAAAAGCAGGGGAAAAAACAAAATGTGAAACGAAAAAATTGGAAACTCGCAAAAAAGATAAACCATAATGCAACGCAGCAACAAGAACGAAGAGGATTGAAAATAAGTGAAACAAGTAGTTTAGGAGAAAATGAGACACACAGAGCAGTATGCCCAAAAGGGAGATGAAAGTGTTGTGGAGCAGCAGAGACTCAGCATTGGAATAATGAGTCGTTTGGGGAATGTAAGATAAACTGGTGTTAGTGAGCCCAAAGAACAGATAGGAGAGGCAGCACCAAGTCGAGCGAAATGTATATTTTTAGTAAAGAGGTTTGCAGGTACATGTATTGAACAATAAGATGAATTAAGAATATACAAGCGGGGACCAGAGTGGGCACATATCCATATAGCTCAATTCCCCATTGTTCGGGACATCGTCCGCATTCACCAAATGGAGGGTGAACCTTGGTGGTGTGCCAACTGGGGAAGGTATCACAAGATGTGATATATGGTAAGATGCTTTCGTCTGTTAGCATCCACGAAGGTTATTAAAACATAAATGGTTCAAGTAGGAAAAATGCAATGAAAAGCATGCAAAGGATCAATCTTCCTCCATCTTGCAATCTGCGCTGAGGACGCAAATGCGAAATCCACCAACTCATAGGCAATGAATATTCACCCGGAGGGTGGGTTGTACCTATAATTTCATACGGCGTCTGTAAGATAGAGCACAGATTGACAAGCGTTAAAAACCTCGCATATAAACAGCATAACGTGCTAGAGTCCCGAACAGCCAGAAGGCATAAGTTAGAAATATCCAAGAGACTCCAACCCATGTGATTGCGTTCCGAGATGACCAGAAGCAAGTAAAGGACTGGGAAGTCTTTGAGAATACGGCAATCCACCATCGATTTCCGAACGAAAGCACTGACACTATCTGTGTCATACTTAGCAACGTTATCGGCTCATGTACAGTTCAACCGGTATCCCAGAGCGACTGCTAAGTCAATCACAATTAAGCGTTAGCCATTAAGCATGATCTAATCCGGTTTAGTGTCTCAAACCCATGGGGATAAGTGGCTCAACAAGGGTGCGAGAGCCGTGCAGCCGCCCAAGCTAGTCGGGCGATCAAAAATTCGATTGTACAGATAGCACCGGGCATTGTTTTAGACCGAATTGCAGCAGTACGTTACACAAGGATTCCCTGTACCAACAGACACTTAAAAATCGTATCGGCCAAACTTCTCTTTGGCAACTGAACTGCATAGTCCCTATATGGTTGGCGGCATCCGGTTTCGGATTTGCCTGTCACTGTGGCAAGCCACAGGACGCCTGCGCCTACAGAGGGACGATAGATGGCTTGCGCTGCACCACCCACAGCTCCAACCACATACCCCATATCCAGTGTAAACCCGAAGGAATAAGACCGGGAGGCATGCGGATGGGAGCCACGTTTCATCAACGGAGCCGGCCCACACTCCTTCACAGGCAAACACAAGCACACTGTAATTGGGGAATCAAGCGCACACAAGGCGGTGCCTGGACCGTAGTCCGCTCCACACTGACTGCATGGAACCGCTCTTTGAGCCTAACACGGCCACAAGAACCGTGCACCCCGTCCCCTCCAGCAACGACCAACTGTCTCCTGGAGCCAGTATGGACGAGGTAGTGGGTAATAGACAGGTAGGCACCTTGTCAACATACACATCAAGCGCAGCCACACCGGGGATATCAAACAACAGCCAAACACTTGAAAGAGAGAAAGAAAAACTCGATTAATGCATAAGGAAACGGTGATATAAACCTTAATTAAATAGCATACGTAATAGGTTGCTTACAAACAGATGTAGCTAAGTGCACGAGGTCAGGAAGTATAGTTCACGGAATGCCACGAACGCAAAAATGTTATGGAAATCGAAAACAATCGGCTTAGGCGATGTGTGCAAGATAATGGAATAGAGTACAGGGAGATGTTTATATGAGAAAGAAGATCATTAAGGTAAAAACTGTAAACCCACCACCTGAAATCAAGAGACCTAGCATGCAAGCACGCGGTTAGGAAATCGAATTCAGCGTGCCCACAAACGCTGCGCCGGCTCGCCGTAATTCTCTGTAGGATCCGTCGTCACTTCTGTAGTGGCACCTAATGGCATAGCTCATGGCCCACTAGACATTTATATGAGAAAGAAAGGCATTAGGAGAGAACCAAGAGCCCACCACCTGAGACAAAGAGACTTAGCATGCAAGCACGCGGTTAGTAAATCGAATTCAGCGTGCCAACAAACGCTGCGCCGGCTCGCCATAATTCTCTGCAGGACACATACATGGTTGGCGGCATCCGGTTTCGGATTTGCCTGTCACTGTGGGCAGCCACAGGACGCCTGCGCCTACAGAGGGACCATGAGTGGCTTGCGCTGCACCACCCACAGCTCCATCCACACACCCCATATCCAGTGTAAACCCGAAGGAATAAGACCGGGAGGCATGCGGATGGGAGCCACGTTGCATCAACGGAGCCGGCCCACACTCCTTCACAGGCAAACACAAGCACGCTGTATTTTGGGGAATCAAGTGTACACAAGGCGGTGCCTGGACCATAGTAAGCTACACACTGAGTGCATGGAACCGCTCTTCCAGCCTATCACGACCACAAGGACCGTGCACCCCGTCCCCTCCAGCAACGACCAACTGTCTCCTGGAGCCAGTATGGACGAGGTAGTGGGTAATAGACAGGTAGGCACCTTGTCAACATGCACATCAAGCGCAGCCACAGCTGGGATCTCAAACAACAGCCAATCATCCGTAATGCCGATATTGATTAAAGTAAACGCATATGAGGACATAAATAATCGCTAAATGAGCATATAGAAGAAGTCGGTTATAAGTGAATCCGGGATAAATACAAAAGATCCGAAAGTTAGCCAAAAAATACCACGCAATAAAATTACGCATGTTTATCACAATTTGCGTGAGAGACGTGTGCAAGTAAGGAGAAGATTATCAAGTACGCAGAACACACCAAATAACATGTAATGAATTATATCCACATTAAAAAGACCTCGTTTAAGTGTAAGTTGGTTTAGCCCAACTGCGGTGAAGAAGCATCATGAACGCAACATCAGCCTCAGCAAGGCGCACTGGACACATACATACATGGTTGGCGGCATCCGGTTTCGGATTTGCCTGTCACTGTGGCAAGCCACAGGACGCCTGCGCCTATAGAGGGACGATAGATGGCTTGCGCTGCACCACCCACAGCTCCAACCACATACCCCATATCCAGTGTAAACCCGAAGGAATAAGACCGGGAGGCATGCGGATGGGAGCCACGTTTCATCAACGGAGCCGGCCCACACTCCTTCACAGGCAAACACAAGCACACTGTAATTGGGGAATCAAGCGCACACAAGGCGGTGCCTGGACCGTAGTCCGCTCCACACTGAGTGCATGGAACCGCTCTTTGAGCCTAACACGGCCACAAGAACCGTGCACCCCGTCCCCTCCAGCAACGACCAACTGTCTCCTGGAGCCAGTATGAACGAGGTAGTGGGTAATAGACAGGTAGGCACCTTGTCAACATACACATCAAGCGCAACCATACCATGGATATCAAACAACAGCCATTCACTTTAAACGACAAGCTGAAATAAAATAAATCCAATAAAGCATACAGATACGGTGGCATAACTCTTCGCTAAATTACCATATGAAGTAAGTTGGTTAGTAACAGATCCGTGATAAGTAATAAATGTCCACAAGTTACTTAAAATGCTACAAACGCAACAAAATTACCGAAGCTAAGCGCAATTAGTGTAAGCAACGTGGCCAGTTAATAGAACATTATTCAGGGAGGCAGAACAAACCAAATAAAGCGGAATGAAATTTATCCAGCTTAAAAAGACCTAGTTTAAGTGTAAGTTGGTTTAGCCCAACTGCGATGAAGAAGCATCAAGAATGGAACATCAGCCTCAGCATGGGGCACACATACATACATACATGGTTGGCGGCATCCGGTTTCGGATTTGCCTGTCACTGTGGCAAGCCACAGGACGCCTGCGCCTACAGAGGGACCATGGATGGCTTGCGCTGCACCACCCACAGCTCCAACCACATACCCCATATCCAGTGTAAACCCGAAGGAATAAGACCGGGAGGCATGCGGATGGGAGCCACGTTTCATCAACGGAGCCGGCCCACACTCCTTCACAGGCAAACACAAGCACACTGTATTTTGGGGAATCAAGCGCACACAAGGCGGTGCCTGGACCGTAGTCCGCTCCATACTGAGTGCATGGAACCACTCTTCGAGCCTAACACGGCCACAAGAACCGTGCACCCCGTCCCCTCCAGCAACGACCAACTGTCTCCTGGAGCCAGTATGGACGACGTAGTGGGTAATAGACAGGTAGGCACCTTGTCAACATGCACATCAAGCGCAGCCACACCGGGGATATCAAACAACAACCAAACACTTGAGAGAGAGAGAGAGAGAAAAAGAAAAAGAGAAAAACTCGATTAATGCATAAGGAAACGGTGACATAAACCTTAATTAAATAGCATACGTAATAAGTTGTTTACAAACGAATCCTAGCTAAGTGCACGAGGTCAGGAAGTATAGTTCACGGAATGCCACGAACACAAAAATGTTATGGAAATCGAATACAATTGGCTGAAGCGATGTGTGCAAGTTAATGGAATAGAGTACAGGGAGATATTTATATGAGAAGGAAAAGCATTAAGGTAAGAACTGTAAACCCACCACCTGAAATAAAGAGACCTAGCATGCAAGCACGCGGTTAGTAAATCGAAGTCAGCGTGCCTACAAACGCTGCGCCGGCTGGTCGTAATTCTCTGCAGGACCCGTCGT